GTAGTTACGTTAGTCAGTCTGCAAAAGTATGTTTCCCTCTGTGAGCCCAGGCGGAGTTAGGTTCTGAGTCTGCAGAGCTGTGTACTCGCAAAGGCTCGACCTAGGAGTTGGATGGTACCTCCAAGCTGAGGTCTTATCTTATGATCCTTGGGAATGGCGATAGCCTAGAGGAATGTATGTGATCAGGAAGGTGAAAATAATTCACTATTGCTAGTTTTGGAAAGCAGGTTTACTTCTTTTAGAAAAAGCCAACAAATTGGGACCAGCAGTTAGCATAATGGCTATGTCGCTGGACTCCCACGTAGTCGACCGCGGTTTGCATCCCGGACCTGGTGGCTTAAAAACTCACGCCGGGCACGTGTGCGTGCGTGCCCAGGATCCCAAGAGGAAAATCACCCCTGGGGGATGATTTCTCGCTTTCTGTCTCTGTCTGTCTGTCTGGTGAGCGCATGTGCCCTATAGCGAAACCCGTGCCCTAAAACGAAAAAACCCCCCCAAAAAAAAAAAAAAAAAAAAGAAAAAGCCAACAAATTTCTTTGAATAGGATACAAATGTTTGCCTTATGGAGTTGTAGATAGAATTAATGAGTTAATGTCCCTTGTACATTTTTTTTTAAAATTTAATTATTTATTTATTTTTTAAAAGATTTTTGTTATAGGGCATGTGTGCTTTCCAAAAAGAGCAACAGTGAGAGGGAAAGTGAAAAATCACTCTGAAGGGTGGATAGCCACACCACAGTTCCTTCTCCATTCTCCTCTCAGGGTTTTGGAAATGCATGCACATGCGCCAGGTGTGATTTTCAAGGCACCAGGTCTGGGACTCAAACCACCGTTGGCCACGTGGGAGTCCAGCTCCTTAACTACCATGCTGCTTGCTGGCCCCTATTTATTACATGGTAGGAAATAGAATATACTAGTTTCCTACGTCCTTGTTTCCTACACACTTCCTTCAAATCTTTGATCAAGGACAATCTTTTCCATGGGGACTTCCGTGACTATTGTCTTTACTATTATCCTTCTTCTCTCCTTATACGATCATGTCTAACTTACTTACATTTCGTGTATTGTGTATTGTCTCCTCCCGCTAGAATGCAAACTCTCTGAAGGCAGGGATCTATCTTGATTTCCTTTTTAAATTGTAATTTCTGGTTTACATATAAGGGGCAAATATCTTTGTCTCTTTTGTTCACTAATATATCCGAAATATCTAGACAGGGTCTGGCATGTAGTGGGTGCTCAGTAAATATTGCTGGATGAGCAAGTCCATTCTTCCAGGCGGCCTGAAGTTTCTGAAGCAGCTTGGGTAGGTTATAAAGAAGCAGAGCATGTGAGTAACATGTTCAGTGCGTCCCAAAGGCTTTTGCCGAGTTATATGCATCAACTTCTATGAAACATTAACATAAGCATTAGCCAGGGGAGAAATATGTTTGCATCTTGTAGACATTACCACCTTTGTTATTTAGTGCTATTTATTTATTTTACTAAAGGGCATGTGCACTTGCCAGAGGGCACAGAGAAACAGAGAGCGGGGGAGGAGAAAGCACTCCCCCAGGGGGAATAATCATGCTGCAACCTCTTCTCTCTCTCCTCTCCTCCTTTCTGGATGTTGGGCACATAATTTGACTCATTTCTGAAGCCACTGTGTCTGAGACTCTAACCACACAGTTGGCTGTGTGGGTCCAGCTGTCTAAACTACCAGGACATGAAACTGGCTCCATTGTTATTTTTCAAAAAGAAAAAAAAAATAGAATTTAGAACCAACGACAGACTAACTTCCTCCTATTTTTAGATTAGAAAATGTTCCATTCCATCTCATATTCCTTTTAGTCATGACTGCCGGGAAGATCAGAAGTATGCTTAATTACCAAGGGCATTGATCAGCTTGCCTCAGCTTCTATTTGGAGTTATTTACTCTTCTTTTAATCTTTTTATCTATCTATCTATCTATCTATCTATCTATCTATCTATCTATCTATCTATCATCTATCTATCTATCAATCAATCATCTATCTATCATCTATCAATCAATCAATCATCTATCATCTATCTATCTATCTATTTATCTAATCTATCCCTATCTATCTATCATCTATCTAGCTATCTATCTTCATCATTTTTATCCATTTATCATGTACTTGTATTTGTTTCCTAGGGCAGCTGTAACCAATGACCACTAACAGGATGGCTTAAAACAATAGACACTAATTCTCTCATAATTTAGGGGCCAAAAGTTGGAAATCATAAAGGTCAGCAGTGCTGGTTCTTTTGGGGAGCTCTGAGAAATAATCTGTTTCATGCATCTCTCCTGGCTTCTGGTGGTTTGTGGCAATCCTTAGCGTTCCTTGGCTTGTAGATGCGTGCTCCCACCTTTCCCTCTGTTGTCACACAGCCTTCGTCCCTGTGTATTTCTCCCTATTGCCTTCTCATAAGGACACCAGTCATTGAATTTAGGGTTTCATTTGAATTATATTTGCAAAACACATTATATCTATCTATCTATCTATCTATCTATCATCTATCTATCTATCAATCAATCATCTATCTATCATCTATCAATCAATCAATCATCTATCATCTATCTATCTATTTATCTAATCTATCCCTATCTATCTATCATCTATCTAGCTATCTATCTTCATCATTTTTATCCATTTATCATGTACTTGTATTTGTTTCCTAGGGCAGCTGTAACCAATGACCACTAACAGGATGGCTTAAAACAATAGACACTAATTCTCTCATAATTTAGGGGCCAAAAGTTGGAAATCATAAAGGTCAGCAGTGCTGGTTCTTTTGGGGAGCTCTGAGAAATAATCTGTTTCATGCATCTCTCCTGGCTTCTGGTGGTTTGTGGCAATCCTTAGCGTTCCTTGGCTTGTAGATGCGTGCTCCCACCTTTCCCTCTGTTGTCACACAGCCTTCGTCCCTGTGTATTTCTCCCTATTGCCTTCTCATAAGGACACCAGTCATTGAATTTAGGGTTTCATTTGAATTATATTTGCAAAACACATTATTTCTAAGTCAGCTCACATTCTGAAGTTCTGTGTAGATATGACTTTTGGGCAAACACTCTTCAACCCATACACACACTACCCATGTTACTCCTGCTTTGTGTTCTTACTTTCTGCTCTCCAACTTCTTCTCGAATATGATGTCCAGTGTCTCTGATTCCCTTATTCCATAATTATTGAGGAAAAAGAACATAGTCTACAAATATATGAAGCATTGAGAATGCAATAGTAGACAAAGTTTTTCCAGGGCTTCCAAACTCCTAGAGTCTAACAAAGAAGAGATATACTACAAATAATAATCTAATTAAATATATGTTTAAAATAGTGAAATTCATAAATTATGACAAGTGCTATGAAATACTGTGAGATATAACATGAGATTATAAAAAGGGAGAAATCATTGATACTGGTCAATGGACTATCAGTGTTGGTAGGAGGAAAATTTCAGCTTGGAGTTTCTGTGAAGGCATTAGCTGAGCAAATGCCAAGGGGAAGAATGTTTGAGGAGGAGGCAATGCCATCTGCAAGGATCCTAAGGTAGGGAAGCCACTGGTGTTTCTCCCCTAAAATGCACATTATGGTGGGGATGAGATCAGACTGAAAAGTAGGCAGGGGCAGGTCCCATGCGGCTTCGGAGGACATTCTAGCATTTCAGATTTCGTCCTAATTAACATGCGGGGTCATTATTGTAGACGTCCAAGCAGAAGAGTGATCTGCCATGTGGAAAATAAATTGGAGGGAGGCAGGAGTAAAAAGAGACCGGTTAGGAAACCTTACAGTGGTCCAGGTGAGGGATAATGACTTGGACTAGAATAATGACAGTGGAAATGACAATAAAATAGGCTTATTCAGGCCATATTTTATAGAAAGAAGAGATATCTCTCATTGATGAATGCAGAAGGTGAGATAGGGGAGGCATTAAGGATCCCGGCCAGTTTATGGAATGAGTAACTGGATGGACAGAGGCGCCATTACCCAGATGTGAAACAGGAGGAAAAGCAGATTTAGGAGGGAAGATCAAGGGTTCATTTTTGCTTCTATTAAATTTGAGATGCCTGTATGATATAGGGTATGCAAATATAGATGTTACATAAGAATGAGGATATATGTTTTTGGGGTTCAGAAGAATATATGCTGATATACAAATTTGTGGGTTCTCGCAAATAGAGACTTTTAAGCCATTACCTTTGGCTTTTTTTAATTTAGATTTTTTATGATGGGTTGACTTTGTACTCATTTATTTGGCTTCTTTTTTCAAATATGTGAGACTATGGCTCTGGTTACACCTTTCAGGCTATAGTTTTATTTGATTTTAATCATCTAATTTTTGTCTTATGTTGTAGTTTTCTTTCTAATTACAGTGTGAAAGCAGAGTACTACAATAGAAAGTAGTAGATTCTGTCTATATGTGTACTTTGGCCAAATCATTTAGTATTTGTAGCTATTAGTTTCTCAACTGTAAGAGACTTGGTTTTCTTTGTTTTAAAAATCTACAATTCTGTAGTCTAAGAATTTCTGATTAAGGTATATCTATTTTTCTAAACCCACAAAGGATTTAACACTAAATAGTCACCATTTGGAAGTCAAGAACCCTTTGTTTTGATTTTAAGGATATCTTGAAGTTCACATCATGAACAGCAGTTAACAATTAAACCAAATGCTGTTAATGACAATCTCAGATACTATTGTTGTAATTCAGAACAACATTTCTTCTGTACTTGTGAATATAAGGTTTGGGGAAAAATAAAATTTAGTCATCTACTCATCAAAATAGCATCACATTTTAATCTAAGACAAACACATCTCACTGCAAATCTCTATAGAAATGGGCATTCTTCAAGCAAAGTTAGGAGTAATCCAAATATCATGGAGAGTCTTAATAAATGTTATGGCTTGGTTATTGACTGTGAGGTATATGCAACAACATTTCCTTATATTCTTCAAGGTGAAGCCATACAAAGTGTTAACATTATCAGCAGTCTTTCCATACCTCAGTGACAGCAAAACTTCTCTTGCCACAGGGAACCACCTTGTACCACTTGTCATGTAGCACATCCATAAACCCATGTGACTTGTATTGACTGATTAGCTCAGAGATATTGGAGGTCAATGGAGAGTTGGGTGGGAGACCAATGCCGTATCCTAGGAGAAAATACAACCTCAGATGAGTTTTTCCCACTGTTCCTGAGAGCTTGCCACCATACTTGTGTGATATTGCCATTAGATCTGATAACTAGAGCGTGGTAAATTTTTACCATCTTTCCTACAAAGGAGAAGAATGGGCTGTGCAAAATGAGTAGTAGAACATTTTATTTCAAAATCTTCCCATTCCTGTCAAGATTTATTAAAGAAGAATGATTTTATTTAACTTTCTTAATTCATTTATTTATTTTAATTTTACCAGAGAGGAACAGAGTGAGAAAGAGAGAGAGAGAGGGAAAGTGAGAAAGCAAGCTGCCAGATCCGGGACTCTAACTGCAGTTGGCCATGTGGGACTCCAGTGCCTTTAACCACCATGCCACCTGTTGGCCCCTTTCAAGATATTTTTTAGAAACAATCTTTAAGGTCTTTACCTGGTTGAGGAGTTCCTATTTATTTCTCAGAAGCCCTTTTTTGGACTTTTAGGTACATAAAATTGGATTAATCATAATCATTGCTTTGTGACATTCTCTTATCATAATGCATGACCATCTTTTAATTTCAAAATTTTGAATAATATAATAAAATTATTCAAACATAAAATACAGCATAGGAATTAAACATCAATCCGATTTATAATAACCAGCTTCAGGGGTCAAAAATGTTTGGTAATACCAAGTATTGGATTTATACATTGCTTGTTGGAATGCAATTTGATAAGCTATTTTGGAGAACAGGTTGGAATTATTTTGTTTTGTTGAGCATTTACTTAAATGAAGAGCAGCAATTCAGCTCTTATGTACTCCCAAAGAGCCCCACAAGCACACACAAAGATATATATGAAAAAGTCCTTAGAGACATTGCTTGCAATAGCAACTATTGGAAACAACCCAAATGTTCTATGACAAGAGAATGAGTAAATAAGCGGTGGAATATTTACACAGTTTTGGAATATTATATAATGTAAAATATAGGAACTAGAACTAGATGCAATATAATATAAATGACCCATCAGTCAGTGTCAAAATATTACTTTCTGCCTGAATTTATTGTATAAATGTTAAAACATTTAGAACAAAACAACGTATTTTTATGAATGCATATGTTTTCACAATATATTTAGAAAAAAGCAAGGCTATGATAAAGATCCAAGATTGCAGTTATGCAGGCAAAGGGAGGCAGGGGAAGGGGTGGTAGAAGAGCACAAAGATAAATGTAATTTGTTGTCAAGTTTATTAATCAGTTTCAATTCTGTATACTCACTGTATGGCCTTATTTGCTTTCCAAACTTACTATACTGTTAATCTCTTTTATGAGCCATGTGAAAGAGGCTAATTGGCTAATTACATTTCTTTTTTTTTTTTTTTTTTTGAGAGGTTTTTGCTATAAGGCGTGTGTGCTCGCCAGACAGAGAGACAGAGAGATAGAAAGCGAGAAATCACCACCCAGGGGGGATGGCCACGCTGCAATCCCTTCTCCTCCATTCTCCTCTTGGGATCTTGGACACGCACGCACATGCGCCTGGCGTGAGTTTAAGCCACCGAGTCCGGGACTCGAACTGCGGTCGACTACATGGGAGTCCAGAGACATAGCCATTATGCTAACTGCTGGTCCCTGGCTAATTACATTTTATTTTTAGCTTTTGGATACCATAGTTAAAAAAAAATTTCTGTCTTCAAAATGCTTGAGGAAGATAAATTGAAAATATGTGTAGTTCCTTTTTCTTCTCTTTCTTTCTTCCTTCCTTTCTTTTTCTTCTCTCTCTCTCTCTCTTTTAACAAGTAAAGACTAAGAGTGGTCAAGGATCCAATGGTACTTAATGGAAACAAATACCTGGTATGATTATTCTTACAACTTAATTTCAACTAGGACACTAGTTTTTATTTTGTTTAAGCTGAATATACATAAATCCTTTTTTAAAAATGAGGCTTGAGATGTGTGTATAGCCCAATAAAAGAGAAGAAATAAATAATGCAGGAAAATGTTTGCATTTTAAAGAATTGTATGCCTTTTCCTGATAATTCTGTTTATCCTTTAACAATAGGGAGTCAAGGAAATGATGAGAATGTCAAGAGCATGATTAAATTTTTCCATTGAAAAAGCTATTTTTGAGTGCTTGTAGTTTTGTTTGAAAGGCAAGAGTGATAATAAAAGACTTTGGATGGGCAGCTTTTTCTTCTGCTGATGTTATCATTAAATAACTTTTTTTTTTTTTAAAAAAAGAATGGATAACTCACTATAAAAAATAACTAGTTTTCTTTATAAACTTATAGTAAATGCTTTTGACAATTCAGTAGCACAAACATTTATTCAGTACTTATTCACATATGAAGCACAATCCTAGGCATATGTAAAATAATGTTCAACTTCTAACTGACTCACTCATTCATTCAATCACTCCCTTATTCATCTAACAAGCATTTACTGAGTGTATAGGCACTGTGTTGAGTGATCACAATTTACCAGTGAAAGAGGCAGATGTGGTCTCTGCTGTCACATTCTATTCTGTACACATTCTATTGGGGGCCAGATAGTAAACAATGATGATTTCATTATAATGGAGGTAGGTGCCAAGAGGGAAAAGAACTGGGGCATGTCAGAACAAAGTGTAAGAAGACTTGGAATTATATGGTGGCAATCGGTTGATGGTCAAGAAGCCCAGGTTTGATAAATAGTAATGTGTTTCTAAGGCAATAGTTTACACTAACAATAACTTCTACTATTTATTGAGAGTTTACTATATTAAGTACTTCCCTCTAATATGTTTTTTGCATACTTTGCCCCATTTTGTAGTTCATGCACTAAACCAAGATTATGGCACAGAGTTCATATAAATCACTCTGGGATTCTGATCATTAAATACTGTATACATGTTTTGAAAAATTATACTGTACTCCATAAATATATACCACAATTACATGTAAACTAGAAATTACAATAAAAATGCTAGGACACACAAAGACCTACTGTGTACCAGACACAATTCCACTTATATTCATAGGTGAAGTCACATCAAAGTATATATTACGGAGAGACTAAAAGACCACTTTAAGTAAACCAACAAGGTGACACAGCAAGTAGTTGGCAAAGCCTGCATTTGTGAGTAGGTCTGTTTGGTTATAAAATCAATACTTTTCTCACCATATCCATTCCAACAACATATGACCAAGTCCAGGGAATATCTGACCATTTCCTTCTCTTCTATACAGGCACTATCATTATTGCCATATTAATGGAATCCTCTAAACTAGGTAATTCATGAGAAATGACAATCATCTAAACTGATGGCTTGTTTTTAGCAGACACAAATGCATATTAGTCATAGGCAGATTTTGTTTGAAAGCTTTTAATTAAGTTGTTTAGTATAATATAAGAAAAGCCTTAACTTGTATATGACTGTATGTGTGAGGAATTCACTAGCAAGGACCTTCACTAATTGTATGGTTTCTCTAAAAATCCTCTTGAGGCCAATTATTCCAACCAATGTTAGTGTAATAAAGGCAGAATTATTTTCATTTGATAACCATTTATTGCACATCTACTTATTAATTCCATGAACATGTATTGAATGCTTGTTCTGTGCCAGGTAAGCCACCAAGTGCTATGGAGGATGCCAATTTAGATGACAGAGTTTATCCGTAAGAAGTTTATGGTGGCCTGGGGGAAAAGAGGTATATAGAAATAGCTAAACAACATGGTAGAAAGTCACATGACTTTTCTTGGGGGGGAAAAAGGTAGGTGGAGCATAAATTCAATAAGGACTAGCACACAATGAGGAAGACAGATAAAATGCTGTGCAAGTTCAGAGGGATGAGAGATTGTAACAAGATGAAAGGGTGAGACAAGGCATCCTAGACTGATTCTACATAGTCATATTTTTGGTAGATGAGACAAAAATACATGAGAAGAAAGTTAGAAATTTGAAATTAATAGTTATGATGAATCTACATATTCTCAGAATAGAATTTTGGCACTGCAACAAAGTAATAAAATTGCCTTCAGGAACAAGCTCTGTTGAAGTTGCAGAGACATTTATAACAAATTGCTGTATAGGAAATAATAAATATTAAATTGCTCCACTCCATCATGTCTAGGTTAATTTGCAATTGACTGCTAAAAATAGGTTACTATTAAATTTTTTTTCTATTTATGTAAATATAGAGTGAATATTGATATTTTAATGATTTAAGTATTAATCATGATTATTACTAGCTAAATACAATAAACCATGCATTTTGAATGGGGAGAAATAGAAATACCTCTTGGCTTTACCATGTATATTTATTAGACAATAGAAAACCTCTCTTTATTTAGAAACATAAAATAGCAAAACCTTGAAGGGTTCATTTCTGTCTTTCTCCTTATCAGTTGCTTTTCAAATTTGATTGTATTCATTGGTCAAAGAATTCTTATTTTTAAATTGCTGACTCAACTTAGCAGCCTGAGTTGCTTTCATTGTCATTAGAAACATGGTTTTGCAATAAAGACTGAGTTGACTATTTTGCAGTTGATGGATGAAGCAAAATGGAATTCTTCAACCCTAAAGATGAAGGCATCAGGCACCCTGGAAATTGGATACAGCTTAATAGCCCAAGAGAACAATTTTCAGAATAGAATCCTGATCTTTTCTTCATGGATAAATCAGCTTTACTCAGCTAAGAGTAGTGGGAATATTTTTTGGCTAGCAAATATATAGTTAGAAATTCATAGACTAAAAGAATCTACCTTGGATGGTACTGGAAAATAGATGTTTGAAAAGAAGATCTCAGATAGTTTTGCATTCTGTCCTTGACATATTCTGGACAATGGTTGAGAACATATTGTAACAGACCCAGCTAGGAAGAAGACTTTAAATATTGGTTTCTCCTACCCCCAGCACATCAAAGCGGGAAGAGAATTATGTAGAAGAAATTAAGATCAGTGAAGGCTATTGTGGAATAATTTTGTAGAGAATTAGTCTTAATGTATTAATTCAATATTCGGAATACTAACTTTTTGCTTCATTTAATTGATTTATTCCATAAGTGTGTGAGAGAGACAGTGAGAAGTAGATAGAGAGATAGGCAACTTCATGCGGCGATCCACCCTCACCCAGCCTCAGCTGGCCCCGGATCATGGGCACCCCTTTGCCCATAATGCTCAGGGAGGTCTCTGAACATGAATTCTAACCCTTCTCATGTGTGGCAGCCTTGCAGAGCATTGTATTACCAGTACACCATCATCTGGCTCCTGAATAACAATAATTTATTGAATACTTACGTGTCAGGCATTCTCCTACATGCTTTACATGTATTATTTTACTTAATTCTCACAACTCTATCATAGATGTACTATCTATATTCCTGCTATGCTGACAAATATGGGAAAAAAATCCCACAAAAACCCAGATTAAGTAACTTGCCAGCAAATAACAGCAATTCTAGAATTCTAGACTAACCTAAGCCCACAGACTCCAGAGCTAATTTTCCAAGCACTGCATTCACTAATTACTGGAAAGCAAATAAAAGAACAAGTTCAAAAACAGGCAAAGGCCTTTGAAAGAAAGGTCATGGATCATTATTGTGCAGTTACATTAATCTTTCTTCTCACTTGACCTTTATTGTCAGCTAACGCCAATGCATAAATTTGGGACAAGTATTTATCTCAACATTTTCTTTTTTTTTTTTTCCTGAGCATAAAATATATCTTTGCACCCCTGGTATGTGGTATTTAATTTAACCAAAGACTTTCTACATGCTTTCAAATTCTTAACAGTTTTGGTTGCCCTGCTGTGTACTCTTTAGTAGCACAGAGTGTTCATGAAAGGGTTTCAAACTCGATATGGAACCACTATCTCTTATTTGTCTTATTTTTACTTTCTGAGCATAAGCAAGTACAGAATGGTAAAGTTGTAGGGAGTGTATAGTAGTTACCTTGGACTATTTAGGCTGCTATAACAAAATACCGTATGGGTAATGTATAAACAGCAGAATTTGGGGACCAGCAATTGGTGTAATGGCTATGTCACTGGACTCCCATGTAGTCGACCAGGGTTCAAGTCCCGAACTCAGTGGCTTAAAACCACACCGAGCATGTGTGCTACATGCCCAAGATCCCGAGAGGACAATGAAGGAGAGGGGATTGTGGCATGGCCATCCCCCTTAGGGGGTGAATTCTCACTTTCTGTCTCTCTGTCTCTCTCTGTCTTTCTGGTGAGTGCATGTGCCCTATAATAAAAACCTCTCCAAAAGAAAAAAAAAAAAAAGAAAAAGAAAGAAACAGCAGAATTTTGCTTCTCATAGTTATGGAGTCTGAGAAGTTTAAGACCAAGGCACTGGTGCACTGGTAGATTTAGTGGCTGATGAAGGTACACTTCCTGGTTCATAGATGGTGGCTTCAGCTGTCCTCACATGCCCGAAAGGATGAATGAGATGCCTTTGTCCTATCTCATAAGGGCACTAATGCCAATTTCTCAGGATGGAGACCTCATCACCTATCCACCTCTCTAACACTCTGTCTCCTAATATCATCATATTGGGGATTGGGTTTCAAAATTTAAATTTGGGAGGAACACAAGCATTTGGATCAGAATAGTAGTCACAGTTAGTTTGGATGGTGTCAATACTACACAAAGTGAAGGTGCATTCATTGTAGAGGAATCAATGTACTCTGTTTTCTCTCCTAAGTTCCTGAAAGCATTTAAGTGCTTGGGAAGAAATGTACAAGTGTCAGGATACTTCTGATAAATCATATGAATAAAGTGAATTACGTATTTAAGTCAAATCTAACCTAATGGCTTTTGATAAACGATATTAATAAGGTAAATTAGGCACTTACTTTAAATCTAACCTAATGAGTTATTTAACAGTCAACACATCTCTTATTCATAATTTTTATATGCTTAGCGTTGCACTAGACCCTGTGAAGACATAGATGTGCACATGAAACATTCCTATTAGCTAAGTGGGCAAGTAGTGTTCATAAACTTCTTTGATGATGCTTTTAATACCTGCATAGTCTAAGTTACTAATAATACAGCTCACATTTGAACAAGTTCAAGAAACCTAAATTTTATTAAAGAAAAAATACATAATATTTTAAAAATTTCATTGAGAGAAATAGACCCATAAAAATCTATGAAGTTAATGATTCATAAAAATACAACCATTAAGACCTTTAATGATATCTCTATCACGCTGTTTTGTGTAATTTTATAAGAATCTGCCCTGTTCCCCCCGCCCCCCACACCAAGTTCTATTTTTAGGTTGTAAACTTATTGGCAGGCGCAGCATTGGATTAAAGTTTTTGATTTTACACCCATTCATTTTGAGAATAAACTGACAATTGTAACAGTGCTCTCTCTATTGAAATCTGTAATTTTTCTGTTCTCTTGCGGAGAGCTCTTCTGTGCGCCATTTTGTGTTTATTCCTTTGAGAACAATGTGGTGTGGAGAGTTGATGGGAACTGCAAGACACAAGTCTCAGGAGCACAGATGGGAATGTAAACAGGAAACCAGTGGGGAGTTAATTGTGTGGCATCTGGCACTGGAATCTAGCAGAGGCAAATAAGCCATCTTAACCACTGCCTTTTGACAAGATAGGGTTGCCCCCTGAAGATAAAGGTGGAAAAATGGAGCCCCACATTCTTATGCCCTCCACAAATGATTCATTGTTAGTAGCTACTAATAGCAGAAAGGACATCAATTATCCAGTGTATCTAGGACAGAAATAAAATGTAACGTTCCTTCCACATCCCCAGATGCCATACAAATGGGAAGTTTTCTATTGTTACATCAAAATGGGGTTATATACTGAATGCTCCTTCAGTTTTCTAGCTTTTTCTTTTTCTTTCCTTTTTATTCCATATCTGAGACTGTAGTCTGAATAGAAGACCATGACTGCTGTCTCTTTTCCTGAGTTCTATGCCTGGTTCATGTTACCTGGAGAGGAGACTGGTTTCTCTTAGGAAAAGGTTCCAAGAAACATCGTCAGCTGTTACATTCTCATTCATCACAAAACCAAAAATTGCAGTAGAAAAGCTGCTGATGTGTTTAGGGAAGACAGAGAGCAACTATAGTTGGAAAATTGGAAAATTTGAATCAGAGTAGTCTTGATACCTTAGTTAGCATACAGGGTAGTACAGAGTTCTGGAAATAGGGCTTGGAGACCCTCATGAGATGGTCTTAAGCCAAAGCATTTTTTGACAAGCGAGCATGACCGTCTTGAGAGCCAGCAAGTACTTGCCAGGGAAGCGAAGCTGGGAATTGGGAGATGTGAAATTTGCTGGTTCAAACTATCAGCTCCATATATCAACCATGGTTCAGAATGAAAGAAGCTACTGACAAAGCAATCTTCCTTTAGTCCTAAAGTTTGATTGATTGGTTGATCAAGTTGAAAGCAAAAAATTGCTGCCAGTGGGGGAAAAAGCAAAACCTGAGGCCCCAAACAGGGTTTTACTTAGGATTGTAAGGATAGATTTTAATCACAATAGCATGAAAAACAGAAAAATGCATCATGATTTTCCTGAGGATCTAATATGGACAGGATGAATTTCTCTCTACCCGCACTTACTTAAGAACAATGAGATTTAGATTTTAATCACAATATTATCATCTGGGTTGTGTGATTATACAAATGTGAGGTAATGTTCCTGGATTTTCATATGTATAAAATGAATAGATTGGATTAGATAAACATTGGGGCTCTTCCAGTTATAAAATGTAATCATTCTAGTTTTGCATCAGATTCATTGCAGTATGTGGCTGTTAGAAAATACGGATTAAATTAAAACTGGACTCCCCAGTTATTACACTGCCATTTCCAGCTATCTGAAGCAATGCCATTTAAGTAATAATGACTTTCCTCCCTAACAATCAGGTGAATAAATGTTTGTTGAGTAGGTAAAAAATAAATTCCTAACTTCAGCAACTTAATAGCTAAGTGCTTATAAGTTGGAAATAAAAACGAGGGAAGATGAATAGCTCTTTGCTTCTGACTTTGGCATTTGTGACTTGCGAGGTGGGCAAACCGAGCACATCCTGAATAAAAGTGAATCAAGAATGACTGATTAATACCTTCTATGGCAAATGGCTTCCCCACAGTTAGAAGTTTGCAGTCAGCATCTATTGACACTTCATAATCCAGAAGGGCTTTGTCCATGATGAAGGCGTCTAGTTTCTCTGGATCATTCCTATATTTAAGACCAAGAGAGGAAAAGTGAAAATGATTCATTAGTGGGCAGAAAGTGCTAAGGCTGACCACCAGCTTTTGCTTAAGAGACAGAAACTGGGACAGAAACCTGGACACCAAGGGCAGCCCAACCTAGCTAGCTGCACACTCAGTTTTATCAGCATCTCACTGACCTGAGGTGTACAGATCAGGGGAGACAGAAAGTCTTATAAGAGAGTGTAATGTTTTTCCAATGGGTTCATTTACCAGTCCTTTTCATTACTTCTAAATTCAACAAAATCAGAGCAACTCTGAATTGAATAGGCAAGAGTGTAGAGAAGTCTCATTTCTCTTACATTATAAGTGCAACTTCTTTGTGCCAGGCATTATATTGATTGTTCTCCATACATTTTATCACCCATAATGACTATGACGTACTGAATGAGGAAATTGAAGCTCAGAGAGTTGAGGTAACTTGACCCACATTATAGAGGTAATAAATGTTGGAGCCAGATGGTCTCAATAATCGGTATGTGGAAATTTTTATTTATTTCTGTCATGATTGCCATCACATTCTTCAGAGATTAGATATCATTTCATATTTAGGAGTAGATATTAAGGAAACACATATAAGAGATCCAGCCCTTTTGGGGAAAAAGTTATCATCTCTATAAAGTTCATAGGCTAGCATTCAATAAGTGGAAGGAGAAGATCATGCAATAGATCTTACTGATCTTATTTATTAATATATCTCCAGAGATTCATGTTTCACTCCAATTCTAGCAGATAGTTCAGACATGAATAATTTAAGATGGGTATCTCTGGGCTTTATTGATGTATCAGCACAGGGCTGGACTCTGCTGTCAGATGCTGTGGTTCTTTCCTGAAGCTTCCTTATTTCGGCGTAGAAATGATCTAGAGGAAGGTTATATCTCAGCACAGTCTGAGCTGCCACTAACAACAAGAGCAAGAAAGGAGGAGTTGTTTCTTTCTTTCTTTGCTTTTTTTTTTTTTTTTTGAGAGATTTTTGCCACAGGGCACGTGCAGGAACTGGAGAGACAGAGAAAGACAGACGAAAAGAGAGAAATCCCCCCACAGGGGGGACGGCCATGCCACAATCCGTTCTCCAGTTTTCCCTCAGGATTTTGGGCAGGCATCCACAAGTGCCTGGTAAGAGTTTCAAGCTGTGGGATGTGGGACTCAACCTGTGCTTGACCATGTGGGAGTCCAGCAACTTAGCCACTATGTCACCTGTCAGCCTCTGGAAGAAGTTTCAATGGAAACTGTCTAAGGCATAAGCAATGGCTTCTTTGTTTCCAGCCACCTCAAATCTGTTCTTGGAAGATATAGGGGAGGCATCAGTTTAAAAACGACTTCTACTCTCGGAGGTATGCAAGCCGTTTTGCAAAAAGAGTAACTCTATTCTATCTGGGATCAGCCCTTTTTCTCTCTTAGAGTCAGGAACAATGCTGTCTGAATTCAAAACAGAGGACTGGCCTCCAAACTCAGAGAAAATGATCTGGGCTCATCCAAAAATTAAAAGAGAAAGACAATCTTGGACACCTGTAGAATTCATTGGGCAGGAAACACAAGTTTATATCAATATCTTTGTGTGAGCCATACATGGACACATTGTAAGTAGGTCATCTTCTCTTTTAGGCACCAATGGCTTCTTCTTCCTATGCTTCCAGACAGTAAAACAGAAAATCAAAATGCATCTCCATTTCTAGGGGTATTAGATTTAAGTTACAATGAGGCCTGTGTAACTTTAACTGGAATGAAAGTACCTCCCAGCTCCACAGAGATGGGATGCCTCAGAAAAGGTTGAAGAAATGAATGGTCTTCTAGAAGCTGAAGATGAATAATTTTTTTTTTTTAGATTTTTGCTTCAGGGCACATGTACTCTCTGGAGAGACAGAGAGAAAGAGATACAGAAAATGAGAAATCACCCCCCAGGGGAGATGGCCATGCTGTAATCCCTTTTTCTCCATTCTCTTCTAGGGATTTTGGGCACACATACTCATGCATCTGGTGTGAGTTTTAAGCCCCTGGGTCTGAAACTCGAACCACGGTTGACTACATCGGAGTCCAGCTATGTAACCAGTACACCATTTGCTGGTCCTGATGATGAGGAATTTTAATAGAATCCTGGCAATAAAGTAAAAATTGAGTTGAAAGATGTTTCCCCAATCATAGTTCGACCATGCCACTAGTAGAATGTACCTTGGAAGCTACATTGCAACACGTTATCTCTTGCCAATAATTTACAAATACTTTTGATAGCAATATAACAGTAGAAAAATAGTGAGTTTCATTTCAGTTTTTTGAACTAGTAATTCCTGAGGTCTGATGTCAGTGGTATCCTTAAATAAGTGTTCCTGATTCTGGACGACAAACTGCAGTTAGCTATGATACATTTCTGTTGTATGGGAAGGTGAGAAGCAATCTGCCCCAGACTCACGGGATTCCGAGTCATTGGTGAGGAAGTGGCTGGGTGCGATCCAGGTATAAGTAATTTCTAGACTGGCTCAATCACCACTATCATTGGTGGCACCTCTGGTTGCATCTCCTATTCTAGACGATGTTCTTTATTGAGCATCCATTTAAAAAGTATATCACATACCACAAAAGTCATCTGTTAATTTACTAGAAGAAGTAAGCATTTTAACAGGGATTACTTTGTTGAAAAGTGGTTACTTCAAAAAACAGGACCTGGAGAGAGGAGGACTAAGCCAAGGGGAATTTTGATAGAAGAGGGCAAGGATGGGTTTAACACATAGGAACCTGTCTTGTACAGGTGACTCAATGTATTGTATCCTGTAAGTCAGAACTCTGGGATGCCAGGCGAATAATGCAAGGGCTGTGGTTGCCTGGAGTAGTCGCTAAGAGTGTAGGTAGTGAGCAGTCCAAAGTGAAGAGAAAAAAAACTAGCCAGAAGTGAGAGAGTATTAATGGTAAGCACTGCCTATGTTCCAGTTTCACTTCAGTGATGACTAGGAAGCTTGTTAAAATGCAGATCTTGGGACCAGCAGATGGCATAATGGTTACATGGCTGGACTCCTATGTGACCAACCATGGTTTGAGTTCTGGACTCGATAGCTTCAAACTTATGCAGGGTGTGTGTGTGCCCAAAATCTTGAGAGGGGGATGGAGGAGAAGGGATTGTGGTGTGACCATCTCCCTGGGGGGAGATTTCTCCCTTTCTGTCTCTCTCTCCCTCTCTCTCTGGTGAGCACATATGCTCTATAGTAAAAATCTCTCTCTCTCTCAAAAAAAAAAAATCCATATACTAATGTGTAGGTATGGGGTGCAGCTTGAGATTCTGACTTCTAAACAGCCCCCCAGATGCTAACTGGAGCATGGATGCTGCTGAAACATGGACTATCCTTTGAACATCAATGACCCTCTTCCTTTAGGGTTTTGGGACTAGTCTGAAACAGTGGTTGGATTTCTGGTTTTGGTACTGACTCTGCCACTTGTGAGCTGTATTATCATATAAAATTTACTTCTTTCAAGCCTTTTCTATCTGTGCCTGGTTTTCTAATTGCTTCTCTCCAGGCTAGGGTAAGGGCAGAGCTGGGCATGAGGGCTTTATCAGGTAAAGCTTCCAGAATAAATGAATGCCCCAAGCATAGTGGAACTGCTGGCGACTGGCAATGGCTAATCTCATTCTTTTCACACTGACAGCAGAGCCCAGCTTGTCATTCATTACTATCTATGCGGGAGCCATTGCGATCTCCTGGTCATCTTATTCTCTCTTAACTATGGATTTGCCTGAAGGAGAGAACACATAAGAAGATCTGGGATGCTTGTTAGGGACTCTAATGCTTTGATGCTCTTGCAAAATTAAAAGTGTCATTTCATAGTACTTAGACATTATATAGAACTTTGCAAATCTGAGAGGACAAGGCTTCCTCTCTAAACTCTAGTTAAAAGTCCATAAAACTGGGGACCAGCAGATGGCATAATGGTTATGTCGCTAGACTTCCCCATAGTTGACCGCAGTTTGAGTCCTGGACCTGGTCACTTAAAACTCATGCCGGGCGCGTGTGCGTGCGTGCCCAAGATCCCGAGTGGAGAATGGAGGAAATGGGATTGCAGCATGACCATCCCCCCTTGGAGGTGATTTCTTGTTTTCTGTCTCCCTCTGGTGAGCACACACGATCTATAGCAAAAATCTCTCTGGAAAAAAAAAAAGTCCATAAGACTATTTAAGGATCCTACTACTAGAACTCTTGAGAAACACAAAGCCCTTGTGTCTCATGAAATTTCCCCTCTTTGTTATAAAAGGAGTTAAGAAAGCAGAGCCTGCTGTCCACTGGGAAGAGTATTGCAGCTGACTGTGGAGAAACCAGTTTCCAAATGCTAAACAATTCTTAGGATTGGAGGTCTGTTATTGTCCTGATTCCATAAGGCAGGAGGGAGAGGACACCTCACTTAAGCGTTGGTGCTTATTATCATGAGACATTCATTCCTTTCTCCCAGGCAGACTGGACAAGCAGACCAATAACTTCACCAGCCTCCTCTGCATTCAGCTTCACTGAATTACAGGCTCTGATAATCTGCCATGGCAATGTGATTGCTCTTGATTGCTTCACATAAATTCTCATGAGAAGGATGCAGGCATGGGAATCATTGCCTTCTATCTTATTTCCTTTCTGCAGGAAATCTCTAAGATAAATTCCATTTCCTTGTGGCAAGAGACATCAGTCCATGGGTTTAGAGATTCAGTGTGAAGGAAAAGGTTGCTTTGGGACACTTTATCCCCTGGCCACATTCCCTGTGTGTTTGATCATTTCAGCACCATTGTTTTCTGAAGAGATGTTAAGCCAACAGTCACTTCCTTTACCATCTGCTACACTAATGACCCCACTGGCTCTTTGAATAAAGCTACTGTCAACTTAAGACTATACAGGTAACTAGTAATCTAGCTCACATAATTAAATGCACGCTGTTCCATATTGCCTCCTGGATCTCACACAATGTGAAGTATTACTGAATACTTGAATATGTATTTATCTGTCATTAAACAAACCCAGCAAACATACAACAGGGAGCTAATAATAAATGGACTTTGCTTCCAGTGAGAATGTTTTGGATCCAATTGGTTGACACTCACTTCAGATACTCCACTCCATCGGGGGTAGCTGGTACATTGTACCTTCTCATATACTCATGCATCTCCGGAAAGCTTTGCCTCACATAATCTTCAGCACTGCTTTCTCGGACAGTTCCAAATCGGAAGCCTTGGGAGGGATGATGCAGCTAAAAGGGAGAAAAAGAAATGTTTTAATATAAACTACTTTTAGAATTGCTTTCAAAAGGTTTCTTTCTTATCATTCTTTGGAACCGAAGGATAATTTGCAACCTTTTTAACACATACAGGCATATACATGCACATGGAAATGTGCAGACATAGGTACATGTTCATTCAAATCCCAGCTTTCACATCCGTGATTTTCTATCTTCAGAAGCAAACAGATGAAAAGAGTAAACAAAAAACTACAAAAGAAACTTTTGCTTTTTATTGAGAACCTATTATAATTCTTTTTTTTTTTTTTTGGAGAGGTTTTTGCTACAGAGTGTGTGTGCTCGCCAGAGAGACAGAGACAGAAAGCGAGAAATCATCCCCTAGGGGGGCTGGCTACACCACAATCCCTTCTCCTCCATTCTCCTCTTGGGATCTTGGGTACACATGCACACGTGCCTGGTGTGAGTTTAAGCCACTGGGTCCGGGACTTGAACCATGATTGACTACATGGAAGTTCAGTGACACAGCCATTACGCTCACTGCTGGTTCCCCTATTAAAATTCTTAAATTGTACTAATTGGCACGTAGAATCAAGTTTTATTATTGTCAACTATGTATCAGACAAAGTATACATTATAGATAATAAAGATTACAACTCTTCTTGGTTAGAACTATAAAAAGGCCATGTAAAGGTCTTGCATTCTGAGATTACAACACATCTGGTCCAATGCCATGAATACATCCTTTTTTTGTTTATCAACCTTTATGCTATATACATTTGAGTTTATTTTTGCTGTTAGTATAAAATGCTCCCTTTGCTTAAGTAACCATATTATCCAACCCTGAGTCATCCTGTATATTAGCACAACTGGGATTGAATATACTACAGTTAGGAGCAGAAGAGAGGATGGGTATCAAGAGGAGACCCTGTAATATCACAGGTCTCTAGGATGCAAAACCTCACTGAAAAGAAAGGCGGTGTATTGGGGTCTGCAGAGACTTTTTGTCACTAAGGATAATAAAGACACATAAGTGAAAGTTGTCGAGAAGTATTAATGTGGAATCTAAAAACCTGGATTATTTAAAATATAAAATGAGGGACCAGCAGTTGGCACAAAGGCTACGTCGTTGGACCTCCATGTAGTCGACTGCGGTTCGAGTCCCAGACCTGGTGGCTTAAACTCATGCTAGGTGCGTGTGCGTGCATGCCCAAGATACTGAGATGAGAGTGGAAGAGAAGGGATTGTGGCATGGCCATCCCTCAGGGTGGTGATTTCTCACTTCCTATCTCTCTGTCTTGCTCTGTCTTTCTGGTGAGTGCAAATGCCCTATAGCAAAAACCTCTCCAAAAGAAAAGAAAAAGAAAAAAAAAAACGAAAATAAAAGAAGTCCTAAAATATAAAAATGAACTGGGATTGGACTACATTACTATAGTCATTGGTATTTTAGAGATAAGCTAAACTGTTAGCACTTTTTTGTTTTGCTTCATATTAATATATTTTTTATTTTTTAAAATGTCTTATTTAAATTTGTTTACGTTCATTCACTGTACATCATTACAGCATACAAAATGAGATTTTCCATCCAGAGTACACTGTATATTGTCTCAATCAAGCACATCAACATACATGTTATTGTCAACAAATAATTTTCCATTTCTTGTTT